GGGCATCTTGCCCCATCTTACCCTACTTATTAGAGCGCCACCTTTAGTCCGATCAAGGGGTGCATGTACCCCTGAGTAATGGGTGGCATTTGGGATCATCCTGACAAATTTGGTGTTTCTAGGACTTACAGTTTTGGCTAGCCAGACACTTATAGGGCAAAAAATGAATAATAATAAGACAATCAGTACAAATACAATAAAGTTGTGGCATCTTCAATGCTTGGACCCCTAAATGTATGGGACTTACCTTGAACGTCGTTTGCACTGACCAATAAGCCACCACTAATGACAGGTACAGAAACCGGTGCTTTAGAGGAACACAACACACGAAAAAAGTCATTGGAGACGGCAATTTTAAGTCACAGTGGAATTTGCCCTGGTATCTATAAAAAAATTATCTTAGGACCTGCTTTACTTAAAGAAGCTAAAGGTAATGTTAAAGGCTTACTGAGGTTAAACTAAGTGTCAGAAACATCAGGTTTTTAACACTTAAGACTAACATTATACTCTTAAGTAGCTCAATATACTGGCACAGAATGTGACACAGTAATAGTTTGTTTTGTATTGGCTGTAGCTAAAACTTACCATATACATCGACTCTGAATGTTTTCCTAGAGATGAAATCATTGATGGTGAGAGCAAGCTTATAAAGTCCAGATTCGCTGACGCTGATGTTCCAGATGGTCAGTGATCCTGTCTGTTGGTCGAGCTGCAATCTGTCACCCAGTCTCTTATGAAGCGATACTTTACTACGGTACATCTGTGCTATTTGGGTGGTTTGGCTGCCGGTTGTAAACAGCCACATTGTCTCATCATCTCCTTTTAGTTCAGGTATTCCTGTTTGCAAAGTCAGAGCCTCTCTCTCCATCACTGTCTTTAACTCATCCCATCCACCATTCACCAGATCTGAAACAATATGAACGAAGGTTAAACAGGGGTTATATGAAGAGTTTGATCAAACTACAAAAATCTAAAGTCAAGTATATCTAGAATACCAAGAAAACACAATATGATCTAAAATTCTGGACTTCTGAAATCTAAATAAAGTAAGTTTGCTAAGATTTCAGACACACTTTGAGACTTGAAATGTTGCATTGTTTAGAAATGAATTCAGCATTGACTACAAACTATTGAAAATGTTCTAGTAAGCTCCTTGACCAGTGACCACAACCACTAAAACAATATTTTGCTTGAGAATAGAAAATATATTTAAAAGGTTTATCTTACCTTCCATACTGATGAAAAATACAATAATAACCCACATGCTGATGGACATTTAAAAAAATGATCAGATGATATAAGTGCTGTTGTTTCTCTTGATGAAGCACCTGAAGCCCGAAATGATCTGATGAACATTCAGTGAAGATTCAGTCTCTGACTTTTATCAGGAAGTGACACACTGGCAATGACATCAGCTGTACCACTAGATGGCACCAAAACCAACAATGAACAATTAAAGGGGTCATATGATGCGACTTACATTTTTCCTTTCTCTTTGCAGTGTTACAAGCTCTTGGTGCATAAAGAAGATCTGTAAAGTTGCAAACACTAAAGTCTCAAAACCTCAGCTCACTCTATCCCGGCCTCAGCGCACGCAATGCCGGCAGTTCTGACTCACGTAAGTCCGTTTTCTTTTCATCATTTGCCACTGATGATTCAAACGCGAGTTTTGGGCAGTGTAGAGTAGCACTTGTTGTTTGTCATTTCTCCGATCACAAATGCAGACAGAGTTTTATGTTTACGCGGCACGATGCAATGCAACGCAATGCAATGCATAAAAATACAGTATAAGTCATTATAATCAGTAATTATGTCCCCACTGATGCAACAAATGCCTAGTTTGTAATGGGTTTTAATGTTTATGTCTCATCGCTCCGGCCGGACACGGGATCAACAGTATGTGAGGGGCATAACATTTCCGTCTCACGCTTGAGGTATTCGACCAATCACAACGCACTGGATAGCTGGCCAATCACAGCACACCTCGCTTTTTCAGACCGATGAGCTTTGTAAAAATCGACGCGTTTCAAAAAGGTGGGGCATAGAGGAGAAACAATCATGTACAGTATGTGGAATATAATGTGTTTTTTTAACTTTAAACCACATAAACACATTTCATTACACCAAATATACAAAATAATGTTCTTTTCAGCAGCATCATATGACCCCTTTAATCACAGCTTTTCTCTCTTCTTGAGAGGCAGTGATTGAGACTATAAAGTCATACTTTAAGAATCTCACTTTCATATCATAGCATCCACTATTTCAATATGTCATTTAATAAGGTTTTGCACTCAGTATCAGTAGCTAAAATGTAATTATCTTTTTAATGTCACACGTGTCCTTCAATGTAAGTATGTTTATTTCCCAGACGATTTGTAAATGTGTGTGTTCATGCTTCTGAACATCAGCGAGACAAAAATGTCAGAAACTGCCCAGTTAGAGTATCTTTACATGTGCATGTGTTTACATTTAGTGGTGAGACTCCAAATTATGTGCAGTAGGTGCAGACGTGGGCATTTGAGTGTGTTTGATGTATATTGAAATTGCTGTGGTGGATCAGAAAATCGGAAAATGTTTGTTGGAAAATTGGAAATAGTGTTTTGAAATGTGTTCTCTGTTTGAATGTAAAACAATGTATTTAAGCCAGTTTTTCACAATTGCTTCACAAAGACTCTAAACCCCATTTTCTGAACCAAATTCTCAAAGGCCTAAGCCCATTTGTAGAATAAATCACTCTTTCTGCAAAACCTTAAACAAGTTCAGGCAGTTAGACTCCATTAGTTATACTTTCTCATGCACTCTAAAACTCTAAACATATTCTCACTCACTCAAACACATTTTGCACTGATGCATAACATAATATAGCCTTTATTATAATACAGGTGCATCTCAATAAATTAGAATGTCGTGGAAA